GAAGCGGTCGCTTAATATGGGCCTCATGAAGGCTCAAGGTCACCCAAAGGTGCTATGCTATGTTTTTCAGCGTGATTGAATCGGAAATTTGGTGATCCATAGGAAAACCAAAGTAACCAATATAGCTCGCAAAATTCAAACTTAAGTGGCAGTTAGCGGGCCACATTCACTCTAAGAGTTCATGGCTGGGGTACAAAAGTTCTCAGTGGGAAGACAGTTAGTGAGGGCAGACTTCCCTCTACGTGGACCGACGATCTAGCGAAGGTAGCGAGCAGTACCTGGATGCGGGCAACGAAGGAGCGGTCGTTGTGAGAATTCTTGGGGGCCTTTGTCGAGCAGTTCTCAGCATTATGTGGTCATTAAATAGAGCCTACTGATCCAAAACCATAGCAATCGTAGGCTATAAAATTGGCACGGCTGGAAAGTTTATTCGAGTCTTAATTAGCGAATGTTCGCAACTTTATCGATGCTTTATTGTTGTATTTCGAGCACCGAACATCACTTTGATCTTTTGCACTTAATTGATATTTAATTAGGTCATGTTTTCAGTTTGATCGGTTTGATTGTTTTAATTTTAGTGATACTTGTTATTTATTTCTGTGACTATTGTCATTTTCTGTGCAAAACTAAACAAAGCGCGCCGTATCCGTACCTTCATCATGATTCGACTAGATCATCGGTCCACCGAGTGGGAGACCTGCCTACACTACGTTTTTCAGTCCATTAAAAATTCTTACAACTACCTACTACATTAAAACTGATTTTCTAAGACATTTTAATTTAAAAGTGTATTTCCCACTTCCCACTTATCATGGTGAGGTCTGAAATTTCAATTAAACCTATTAAGATTTCCATCTCGTTAGTAGAAAGGCTTTTACTCCACTTTAAACTGTATATCCATTACAATAGAGCTGGTATTCCTTTATCAGGGACCATTGAAAAGGCTTAAGGTTTCCTTTTTGTGTGAAGGAAAAAGGAATAGCAAGATCATGCTCTCTCTTTCGTGGCTAAGACTTTTAATGCAATTATTGTTGAAAACGAAATAAATTTTAACATTTCATAGCAATATTATGTTTCAATATTTCTTTAAACCAAATCTATGAAAGGTAAGATAGCTTTTTGAGGAAAAATAACCTTATTCGATACTTACGGATTTATTGACTTATAAACTTTTGCCTGCAGCTTTGCCCGCGTGATTTTCAGTTTGCCACAGAAAAACTTTGTCGCGCGCGTTTGGCTTTCGAAAACCGGGACAAAAACTGCCCTAGGATTTTCCCTGGATTTTAAACTATTTTTATACCTACCAAAATAAATCTAGCATCTCTTACAGTCAAAACACAATCGGTCGAAACCACTTTTGACTGTAAAAATCAGTCAAGAGTGGTTTTGACTGATGCCCTTGTTCAAAATCACTTTTAACTGATTTTTTTACCCACCACTTTTGACTTTTTTTAGCAGTCAAAAGTGGTCTTGACTGCAACATATAAAATATGGATGTCTATGTGTATTACTCTTTCACGAAAAAACTACTGAATCCATTTTGATGAAACATTACCGTATTTTTTATACATCGGAATAACAAAAACGCTATAATATTATATTATTCGTAGCTGCGGACTAAATCTAGTTTATAATATTAGTAGGATAGGGTAAGTATGTACCTATCTATGAAAGTATGAGTATGTAGGTACTTCTAGAGGTAAAGTTTTACGACAATCAGTCTTTAACTAACCTCTGATCGAATCACAAACCTCAGGGCGTCTGTATTGGCTTACGATCCCCTTATCTGGCTCCATGTCGAATGGCAAGCCATAATCGCCTTTATGCCGCGATAACATTGACTATAATGGCGTGGGTAGACGCCCTCGCATCTTACGTAATGTGTGTGCATAGTAAAATGGGAGTAGTAAGTCTATATTTAAGGTATGGCCTGTTTTGTGTATAGTCTGGTCGCTGAGCACGTAGAATTTTGTCCATTGACCCCAAGCTACCCATCCTTATCGCTCGCGCGTAATTATATTGCTGTCGCGACTGTGCGACGGGCGCCCGCAGTGAGTGTGCGAGCGCAACAGCAACATAATTACGCGCGAGCGATAAGGATGAGTAGCTTGGGGTCATTGGACAAAATTCTAAGTGCTCAGAGACCGGGCTTTATCTAATGTTGTTATGAATAAGTGCAATTGTGCAATCATCATCATCATCATTTCAGCCTTAGGACGTCCACTGCTAAACATAGGCCTCCCCCAATGCTTTCCAAGTTGATCGATTGGTAGCGGCCTGCGTCCAGCGCTTCCCTGTGTTCTTTATTGTGCAATAGCAATTTTAGAACTAGCGAAAAAAATTTATATCGAAAGTCGACTACTGCTTAGTAGTGCTTAGGCAAGCAGTCTCTTACTGGACCACAATGCCAGCCGTGGTAGCTGGTTTGGATCCCGTGGGGGTCACATTATAGTATCATTGTCATTACATTTCAGAGATTTTTAAGCTAATTTGCAAACACTATAAAATTAATACTTAATTGCAGCAAAACACGTCGCGTATCCTCCCAAAACTAGGATAAAAACTGCCCTATGTTTTCTTCGCGTCTCAAACTCTCTACACCAAAGTTCATCTTAATCGGTTCATCATGAGCAGTAATTTAACGCCCGTATTCACAAAAATTACTATGAGGTGATGGATGGAGATGTGCGCATGGACGCACAGGGTGACACACGAACCAATCACAGAGCTCTATTCAACGCTGTGCGTTCGATTTGCTGCTTCACTCAAGCAAGCATCGCTTGTGAATACGGGCGTAAGTGTGAAAAGGTTACAGATGAAGTTATTTTTGCATTAATAACATTAATAAAATAGTCTTAAATTTATATGGAAGTATAGATTTTTTATTTATGAAAACATACTAATTCAGCAGTTTCTTCCATACAGAGTTGACTTACTGTTTCTCCTTATTTTGCATTATTCGTTTAGTATCAGATGTCTTCATTTGTTGTTGATGTTCGCTAACGAAATTGTTAGAAGTAATTTTCGTTCGAAGAAAATATGATAGATGTGGGAATAACAGTTTGAGATGTTTATATTTTGTTTTATTCTCCTGGTTTTCTTTATTGGCTTCGTATGAAAATACACCTGGTGTTTTTTGTACGAGTTTGTAGAAGGTTACTAATGGATGAATTTTTAACCATTACTGAGAAAGAAAGAAATATTTGTCAAAATTTTGCCCGTGCCTCGTTCACTAAAGTTCATTATGGATACGTCAGGAACCGTAGTTTCTTTTAGCGTGTGAAACTGTGGATCTGTGGCATTGGTGTGGATAAAATGATAATTATCTTAAGACGTCACAACTCACAACATTTGTGTCAGTTTTACTGTTAGGAGCGACTGACAGAATTCACGGATTGAAGTATGAACTCTTAATTTTCAGAAAATTAATTCTAGCCTGCAATTCCCATACCTTCTATTGGGAAGAGAATTAACACCTACTCATTTTAAATCGTTCTATATAGGAATTAGGAAAGCTTTCATTAATCATTAGTTAGTAACATAGTCATAAAACATAACCCTCCTTCTGACGCAATCGAGTAAAAAGCTATAATGAAGCGCTTTTACCTCTTTACTTTCATATTCCTAAAATTTAAATAGTCCAATAATAATTGGGAATAACTTATGTGAAATCAAAAGCTATCACTTTCACCGAACATCTTACGAACATATTATGTACTCTTACCTCATACCTCTTACCAACTCTACCTCTTCGTACCTCAAGTAAGATAAGCCTCTCGATAACATTGTAAGTTAATTATACGATCTATGTCAGCGAGCTTGACATAGAGTAAGGATAATCTAGATAGGTAATGTATTACAGACTTTTGTATGAAGAAAAAAAGAGGTGAGTTTTTTTATTTATTTTTTTATTTATATTATTTTATTTTATTTATTTTATGAGTTTCCCAAAAAGTAAAAGTAAAAGAGGGTAAGAGCAATTTTCGACAAAAAAAGACTGAATTGGTCAAATTTAGCTACCTTCACCAGCTTTAATTGTTGCAATTCACGGAGGCGAATGAGCTTTACATGTGTAGACATTACACTATCGTTATATGCAGGTACACGTACACACACAAGTAAAGCTCACTCGCCTTCGTGAGTTGCAAGAACTATACCTATAGTTTCGTTTCAGCCAAATGACGTCCACTGCTGGACAAAGGCCTCCCCCAAGGTTTTCCACAATGAACGGTCCTGCGCTGCCCGCATCCAGGCTCTTCCCGCGACCTTTACCAGATCGTCGGTCCACCTATAGTTTACAAGTAAGAAAATAATGGTAGAGCCATTGTAATTTTAATAAACAAGAAACGTTTTTAGAATGATTTGCAGTGATTTAAGTATTAAGTGAAAAATAATTGTAAAACTATAGATTGTCTCTCTATGTAATTTTGGGTATTTACTTAATTCACCAATACCCTTAAGTTGCTAAGCAAAATGTTATGTCAAATCTATAGGGTTTCTTATCTACGAAACTTGACAAGAAGTTGGTTACTCGTGTCTTAAACGACTTTCGAGTTGTATAAGTTCATGAGGGCTTGTTAAAGTTACCGACACACACAGTTTAAGTAAATATAAATGAGTGAAAAATTTAGGTAAAGCTCTATGTGCTATACTTCTCATTTATGTTAAGCGCATTCATTTTGAGGCGCACCTAATAAAGCGCACCCATTTTGAGGCACAACTAATGAAACGCACCCATTTTGAGGCGCACCTAATGAAGCGCGCCTAAACTATTTCTCGTAGCGCATCTATGTTTACTAACATAAAGATTTGAACTTTATGGCTGAATGAGGATCAGTACTGTTGTAGAAAATTCAATAAAACTAGTATCTACGTTAATCTTTAAGACATAAGAAAGACATATCTTTTTGAATTATCCAAATCGGACCATTACTTACGAAGATAAGTCATACCCAGCTTATAGCCTGGGGGGAGGGGCAAGCCTTACCCAGCTNGCGCGTGGTATAACCGTGGTATAACTTACTTCAACTGATGGCAATTGACCAGGATCCTGTGGCCCATGACCTCGCTGGGCATTTCGGCAGCCAGTCTCCTCTCCACCGCCTCATCCTCGTCGAGGTACGGAGTGTACAGGCCTAGCAGGTCAGGTTGTCTGTTCTCCAACCTTAGGGAAATTATTAGTCAGTGCTGGTAGACATGTTGTATTACATCCTATCCTACTAATATTATAAAGGCGAAAGTTTGGATGTCATGATGTCTGGATGTCTGCATGTTTGTTACTCTTTCACGCAAAAACTACTGAGCGGATTTTGTTGAAACTTTACAGTATTATTGTTTATAACCCAGATTAACATATAGGCTATAACTTATGACGATATGTGACAAATACATTTCAATAAATAAATAAGAAGTGTCTAAAAAGCGCCATCTATCGTCATTGGTTAAAATCTACAGCGCTGGACAAACTACTGTTTTGACGTTCGTCAATATTCATTCGGGGGAAGCCGTGAAACGCCATCTATCAACATGATATCTAACGGGGGTAAAACGAGGTCCACGCGAACGAATTGTTTTCGAGTTAATATGGCTACAAATTAGGACCCATAACACCCACGTTTGACATCCCATTAGGTTGTTTCAAAGTCTACTAGACTGACCGAATGATTTAAAATCAATTGAAAATGTAATAGAACAAATAAATTAAAATGAGCCAACTGAAACCCCAAGCGGTCGTATAAGACAATTGATTTCTAATGTGTCTCGATTTGCGGGGCTTGAAGCATTACATGTTTTGGATAATCTTTGTAAGCATGCACTGTTCAGCTAAATAAATAATTTTGAATCGTCTTTTTAACGAGGAAACTCAATCTTCTTGTGAATAGTCTGCTCCCTTATCGTTACCTCTTAGCCTCATTGGCAGCGTCCATTTGCTCCGGCGGTCGCCGTTCAAACAAGTCCGGCAGGAGCGGGTCGGAGGAGGAACTTCTAAGGTCCAGGGAAGCCCACGATCCGCGAGGAGTTAGCGTCTCGTTGCACGACGAAGAAGACGAGATCGACGCGACGGACTGACGCCCGCTGGAGGGTTGGGACTCGAACTGTTGGAAATAGTGACGAGAAATTGAGATTTGTTGTTGTTATACAAAGCACTAACTGTCCGAGGACTTCGAGGTTTGTTTTTAGAGTATTACAAATGAATGTAGTCATTCCTTGGAATTTTTTGACAATGTAGTTCTTTGGGCACGTATAAGAAAAAAAAGCTAGTGGTTTCGTAGGTTAAAAAGTAAATGACATTTAAAGTAACAATTAACACTGAGAGGGCACATGTTCAGCATGTGGCGAAGTTCCAGAGGATGCACCGACCCTGAGTCCACAGTCGTATTTAAAGTAGCCGTAATAGGTGCGTATTTGCAGCATCCATACGTCGCTGTCAGTTCAAAAGGATATATGTTTTACCAGTAGGTTTACAACAGGACACACAAAAAACTGTATATTTTTTAAATTTGGATTTGACATACGTCCTTTTGAACTGACAGCAACGTAGACACACAGTCCGTACCTGCTGTGACGTCAGCTCCTCCGTGGACACGGCGACCGGGTCCGCGTCGACCTCGTAGTGGTGGCGGGGCCCGGCCGCGAGCTTCTCCAGGCGCTCGCTCTGGCGCTCGCGGCCGCAGGACGAGCCCGAGTACTGATTTCTGATTTGACTACTACTGCTGTTTTTCTCTTACTCTGGGATCTAGTAGAAGGTCCAGGAGGGGGTAAATGCTGGTCCTGGCCTTCGTCATCTATGTCTGTTAGAACCACTTCGGGTCTCTCGAATTTTGGACTATTGGATCTCTCTGCCATTTTGGTACAATATTATGAATTAATTCAACAACAAAAATAGAACAACAATTGGATTTAGAATAACACACAAAAAGATTAAAAATTACGATAGCTAAAATCGGACGAGCAATGACCAAGTTACTCACTGGAATGCGGATAGCGCGATAAGGACGATCATTCTCGGAACTGGAAGCTGGAAGTCGCGCTGCTCTCGGCGAAATGTATGCTTGTTGATAAGCCTCGCTCCGTTGCGTCACTGGATGCTCGCTTGCCGGTCGCAGCACGAAATTGTGCGCAACAGTGGGCAAACGGCTGTTCTCGGTGGAGACCGGCTGCGGATGATTCACGCAGCAGTGGGCCTCTCAGGAACTCAGGAACGTTGGAAGACTTGGGCCGGGCCGGAACTCGGTGTGGTATTGGATTATTGGAGGTCCACACAGTGGAGTCGGCGCTTACACACAACACGGCACACACACGCGTCGAGACTGGATTTATAGATTTAACTTGGTTTTGAAACTGAACTGTAGACGTTGACCGGGGACTCTTTTTGAATCCCTTTGCGCTGCCACCAAATGTTATGAGCCTCAGAGGATTTGGGTTTTTAAAAAAAGAACACGAGATTAATAGGATAAGACAGCCGTCTAGTTCGGATGGTGGAATGAGACTGGCAAGGAGATGCGAGGGATCGCAGGCTATGGATAGAAAAGGATGAGTCGGCAAAAGGCGAAATGTCAGGTAAGCAATATAGGGTGCGAGGGCTATCTGTAACAGAGCGATAAGGATAGGTAGCTAGGGGTCATTGGACAAAATTCTACGTGCTCACGGACCGGGCTTTAGACGCTTACACGCACCGTGACCTCGCTGAACAGCTGCGCGACGCACGTGAACACCTGCTGCGCGATGTTCAGCGGCGCGCCCGCCAGCGCCGGCGCCGCTGCCAGCAGCCGCAGCAGCCGGTCCAGTGCTACCGGTAGATATGCAGCCAGCGCTTCTACGCTTGCTGTTGGCAGCTCCGCTATGCTGTGTAGGGCAAACAATAGGTATATTGAGACCGGAGCGCATTTAAAAAACGCTACAAGTCACACTCGCTGTAACAACCGCTTTAGTGTACCGCATTTTAGTGCCGCGGGCGACGCTACGATGCACGTTATTTACTAAGCACACTTGCTCCATCACGCGCCATCATAATACGACACGCACCATACAAAATAATATTTTGTATCATGTGTTAAACCATGTTAAAATGTATGAACTGTATTATGTATGTGACTTTGTTGGTGTACCTAATAAATAAATAAATAAAAATAAATAAATAAATTGACGCTTTGTGCCGTGCCGTACAGTGCAGCGTAGCGCCATATAAATGCGGTATGCGTTTTATGATTGCGTTTGAAGAAAGAAACATCTTGTCTAAAACCTACCTGCCCATTAGATTTTAGGAAAACAGGAAATCTCAAATATAATATACTCAAATGTTTGTATAGATTACCTGGCCCGTAGTTCAGCCTCCATGTTAGCAAGTCCGATTCTTGGCGGGATATTGCCCTCCTGCACTGCCTCACACGCCATTGCGAACCGTTCGATGTACCCGTCCTATTTGAAAAATTAGCAAATATAAAAAGAAATAATTATAATTAGTATAGTATAGTCTGGTATGTAAGCACGTAGAATTTTGTCCAATGACCCCAAGCTACTCGCTCGCGCGTAATAGCTTAGGGTAGCTTGGGGTCATTGGACAAAATTCTACGTGCTCACAGATCGGGCTTTAGTAGTAAGTTTCCTTGCGTGTAGTGTTTCTCAACACTTGATACATTTTGTACGCTGTTGTTTTAATTATTGGGTTTAAAATCCAATGTCACTAAAATAAAACATCTCATATCTTACCAGCGGGTCATTGGACAAAATTCTACGTGCTCACAGATCGGGCTTTAGTAGTAAGTTTCCTTGCGTGTAGTGTTTCTCAACACTTGATACATTTTGTACGCTGTTGTTTTAATTATTGGGTTTAAAACCAAATGTCACTAAAATAAAACATCTCATATCTTACCAGCGGGTGAACAGTCGTGTGCGCATCCAAGGCAATGCTGAATATCGGCTTATGATTATCAATCCACCGCGTCCCGGGCAGCAGTACATCGGGGAATATGTACGAGTAGTTGGGAGGCGGCTCCTCCTGCATCACCGGTAAGTTGAACTCGCCGCACGTCAGCTTGCCGTTGCGACATAGGGGGAGCCACTGCGGGTGATTGGAAATAATCAGTAACCCCCTTAGGCCCGGTTTTTTGATTCGTAGTTAAAATAACAAATGGTCAAATTTGACAGATGTCAAATGACAAGTGGTTAAATATTTTTAACTACTTACTATCTTTAACTTTTCTTAATTTTCTTTTCTTAATTTTGTCTTTAATTAATGTCCTACTTTAAACTCGAGTCAACGTTCGATAATAGGAAATGATGTATCCACCTGTAAAGGCATATATTTTAATATTGTACCTACTCAACACTGTATTATTGTTATATGTAAAGTTATGTGTCGTTGGTGTATCTTTTTCAATAAATAAATAAAATAAATAAAATAAATAAATATCAGAAAAAAATGTTTTTCGAACAATGGTTAGCTTGACTTTTAGTACATTTTTTAACTATTTGTTTACATTTTGTTAATATTTAACCATTAGTAGCAAAATTTAACAATTAGTTATTTTAACTAAGAATCAAAAAACTGGGCCTTACTAATAAAACTTACACACTCGTTGAACAGTGTTTTAAAGTGACGTTTATGGAAATGTCACTTTAAAACAGTGTTCAACAACTGTGTAACTTTTTATTAGTAAGGGGGTAAGTGTCAAGTATTTCAGCTTGCTAATCTTTAGTTCGTTTACAGATCACCTCATTTCTGATTCGATCTCATAAAGAAACACCGAGCATATCCCTTTCCGTGGCACGCTGTACAACTTTGAGCTTCTGTCTTCTGCGTCAAGTATTTCTGTCGGTACCAAAGGTTGGTAATTTTAGAATCGTTGATTGTAAAAGTGTGGACTATATTTTTCTTTAGTTCGTAAAGACGTAAGCATCATCATAACTATGCATAATAAAGGCATCAAGAGTTAGATTTATCTACACCCGTCACGCGTCACTGGCAGAATTGCTGCAATCAAATAGCAGTGGGCGGGGCACATTGCTCGCAGAGTTGTTGGCCAGTGGGGCAGAAAAGTTCTCGAGTGGCGACTAGGGGCCGAAAGACGTAGTGTGGGCAACCCCCTCACTAGGTTGACCGACGATCTGATGAAGGTCGCGAGGTGCCTGGATACGGACGGTGCAGGACCCGTCGTTGTGGAAATTTTTAGGGGAAGCCTTTCTCTAGCAGTGGACGTCATTTGGCTGAAACGAACTGTTACACATTGAAAATGTTGGCTAAACTGCTGAATTGTCGTCAGAATTTTCACGATGCAGCGAGACTGAACCTCCAGTTCGGAGGCGCAGTTCAGACCGGCCATCCAAACAGTAAAGACGACTAAGTTTCGGGTATTGAAAGTAAAGTACGGCAAATAAAGGATATTTTTTTTTCAAAAGAACTTTTACTATTGCGTCGTAACAGAACGAACATGGAGATAAAAAATACTGATTGTTTTTGCTGTGTAAAAGCAATAACTCACCGAGTATCCCACGACGGTTTCTACGTTCTTCTCTTGTCCGGGCGCGACGGGCTTGCGCTGGCACGCCACGTGTAGAAACGTGAACAGCAGGTGGTGCTGGTCTCCTAAGTCCGCGGGAAGTTTTAGTTTTATCTCGTCGTATAGGGATGGCGACCTGGGGGAAACGATGTAAAGGTTAAAGTCTTTTGTTCCGTACTCAGGCAGGCCTGGCTCACTCCGCGCGGTACATCCGATAATTACCTACAGCGAAGCGCCCCGCCGGCGGGTATTATATCAGTCGAGTGTCACGCGCGCGCCCGTCAGGACGCTGGCGTGCGTTGTAGTACCTAATTCTATAATCGAAGTATTATTTAAAAATGGACATAAAGAGAAAGAAATATTGTGCGGCGTTCGGGTGTTTAAATTCGAAAATAAATCTACCGGATTTATCTTTTTTTTCGCTTCTCAAAGATGCTGAAAGGTATGTTGGCCATGTAGGTAATCAATAATAATTCTTAGGATAGTATAGGAACCTAACCTACCATGACTACTGCTCAGAATGCGTTCGTTCGTTTCAGCCAAATGACGTCCACTGCTGGACAAAGGCCTCCCCCAAGGTTTTTCATAATGAATGCGTACTTACCTACATACGTACCTCATTACAAATAAGTAGATTAATTATTTTTTCACTAGACAGCAACCCTAACAGCGTAAGAAGAGTTCAGAGGCACGCGATAGAAAGAGACAAAACTTGTAGGTGAATAAAATTGTAGGTACGTAGTGCTGTGCGAGCTGAATTCCACTGTATCGCGTCGTAGCAAGACTCGCATTTATTTAAATCGTCTTGCGGAGTAATCCTTCTGTACCTGTACTATTACTTATTCTGTGACTCAGGCCCTTTTCAGGGCGCTTATACATGTCCTAAATAGATTGCCCTACCACCACTTCCACACAACATATGGGTAGGTGCTGAGAAGAAGTGGCGGAACCTTTGACATGATCATCATAAGCTCATTTATCCAGTACAGGAGCAACCTCTCTTACCAGCGACAAATGGATTTGGCCACTTTCCACGCTGGCCAGGTAATGCCGGATATATAGGAACCCTTTTCTCGTTACCACCGCGACAACTGTGTAGCCAGAATCTACAGCTTGACTGCCAATAAAAACCCAACCAGTAAATATCAAGTTTGTCCCCATTTATTAGATTTCGATTTTTAGCGTTCGTCTTGCCAACGCCCGTGCAGTGCATAAACTAAAAAAAGTTTTTTAGTTTTAAGAGAGTTGGTGTTCTCGCCAGCGCCTGTCACCTTCGTCGAACCTCGAAAGACGATAGTGTCGAGGAAGCCATACATATATTTGTGGTAGTTTCCGTAAAAAATACATACAAAAGAGTTAAGATATACATAATCGGGACCTGGATTTCCAATGAAACAACTTACTTGTTGTGATACAGCACGGTGGTGTAGGCCTCTGTAGAGAACTCGGGGCACGAGCTGCGGCCGAAGATGGCCGGCAGCGCTGCCGATTGCTGCTCGCCTGCCATTAGCTGCACTCGCACCTATGTAGTTGAGAAAGAAAGAGTTTTAGTGGGATTATTTAGACTCGTAATCATGTATCACATGTTTTATTACTTTGATTAGACGACAGAAATGTTTTAACACTGCTGCGAACTTTAATTTTAATTCTGGGTGTTGTATTTTAATTCTGTGCAATTTAATTTCAGTCTGGGTGTCTGGGTGTCCACGGAAGACCAGCGTCGTGGCATTATCTACTGAGATGCTACGACACCATGCTGAGTGGATACCTTTTCAGTATCATTGTAATTACCTACTCATTAAATAATTTTAAGTATCGTTGTAAATGTGTATTGTCGATGATACAGAATAAACATTTTTTCTTTCTTTCTTAATTCTTTCCAAAATGGAGCAAAAATTTTGCTAAAGACAGGTTATCTATCCTTTATACTCTATGGATAACATTAAATATTTAATTTACAAATGTTCCATAATTTACAAAATGCCTACTTACAGTGATATTCCTCGCAGACCCAGTCCTAGACGTGTAGGCAGCCAGGCTGATGTCTCGCACGGATAGGAATAATAGCGCTCGGTACTGGTAGTGAGGCACGAGCGTCGGCGTCAGCGGGAATGGTAGGATTTCTTTACACCGCCTGACTATTGACTGAGTAACCTACAAGTGTCCCACTTACAGTGATATTCCTCGCAGACCCAGTCCTAGAAGTGTATGCAGCCAGGCTGATGTCTCGCACGGATAGGAACAGCAGCGCTCGGTACTGGTAGTGAGGCACGAGCGTCGGCGTCAACGGGAATGGTAGGATTTCTTTACATGGCCTGACGTTTTCATCTGTTAATTAATCATCAGGTTAGAGCCGTAAAACGTACAGACGCCAGCAGGTCAAGCTAAACAATGTGATTCTTATAAAGTTGTAATAGGAGCGAATTTGCAACAAAAATGGGTAGTCTGTCGTCTATACGCTTATTCCGCGGCTAGTGCTAAAAAGAAGCAGCGGAAAGAACTTCAACTTTCTTCTACTAGGCTACTAAATCGATGCCTAAAACCAAATTGAGAGGGAAATACAACTAAAAGTTTAGTAGATAGAGAATAGAATTTCAACATAAAACGAAGTTTAAGTAACATAGGTTCAATTAAGAATACATTTAATAGTTGGTAAGAAGCGCTACTAACCTCCATAGGGGCTCAGTTTAGCCAGCTCCGGCGTCAGACCGTTCTTGATTTCATCAGGGCACGGGCACACTTCAATCTTGAGAGTGCCAGGGATGCACTTGAGCTTCTTAGGCGCTGAGCTCGGTCGCTTTATTTCGGCCAAAAACTTGTAGAGATCTTCGTCGCGCAGCTTGTCAGTTTCCTGCGAACATTGGTAAATGTACAGGGTGTTTGGAAGAGGGTTAGACAAACTCGTAGGGTGTATAGGTAGGGACATTTTGAAAATAAAATTAATTTGATTCTCAATTTAAACTTACGTGTGCGCAAGTATCTGTATCTTAAAGTAGTATGATGAGCAGCGCAGTGAGGTAAGCTTGAATTAGCAGTGAAATTAATAGGCGACCGACGCGCCACACATCCGGAGTGGGCACTCATTCCGTGAACCCACGCAGGTTTTAGCATAGGTCCTTTCTTATGTGTTTTAATGTACTATGGGCACAGAATAATGGAGAGTTCGGTATATTGTACCGCCGGGTAAATTGTACCACCCTCATATTTCGTAAAGTATTTATTGAATGTCTGTAATTGCAACACTCAGCGATACACAACTAAATTCAATTAATATCGGCCATGTGGTTTTTGCCGTGACAATGAACACGTGTGTTTTATTTTGAAAAGTATTTTTTCATTGTTTTCAAGTAACTTTTGACAATGCATGTTTAGTTTGTAATTTTGTTAAATTTAATCACAGGGTGTTTCTAATATATTATTTAGAAGCGTAAATTAGTGTGGATTACAATTATTTGAAACATTTTTCGGTATTTATAAGCTATATTTTTTACCGATTTTTTAAAAGTACTAACACCTAGTCGGCTAAATTGTACCACATCAAGTTGTATGGAACTTTACCAAAGGATTTTGAATTTTTTTTAGTAAATCATATTTTAAAGTTATAATAGCGTAGTTATGTTTGACTAACAATAAATGAAAGCAAAAGACTGGCAAAGTAGATTAGATACAAGTGTGCGTTACGATAATAGGAATTACAAAACTTTTACTCAAAATCGTGATAACCTGTAAAACAATATCAATTGTCTATGTTATTAACTACTGTTCCTTTTCGTTACCTAATTTGTTAAAAATGTATCGTATAATATTTTGCCATAGTTTTTTTATAGGCTTGAAATTTATTGAAATCCAATTTAGTAACCTATCGATAGCTTACTTTATTCTGATGAATAAATGTTATTACAAGTTTTTCTCTAAAACTGATAATTTGGCTAGAAAAAAATATTTTCTATCCACGCAGTACGCCGGCAGCGTTCGGATCGGATATAATGACGTCATCGTCCCCGCGCCGGGCGGTCAGTGAACTTTTTTAGTAATTTGGCCATAACTTCGTCAATTTTTGTCGTAGAACAAAAATTTTTGCACTGTGTATTAAGGATTTCTTAGCCCTATAAATCTGCATTCACAGCTAAAAATCGAAATGATCCTCATTGCACCATCTAACTTTAACCGTAACTATAATTATAACGATAACCGGTGTTTTTTGTATGGAGTTTGACATTATTTTTGATGTTTGTTAAAACTAAAGTAAGATAGTGCACTCAGTCATGTCTACTCAGATGAATAAAAAGTACCAGCCAGGCTAGGATAAAATCTTATCGATGATTTTAGACGACAAATGTATGAGCTTATCGCGTAAAGTCAATAAAATGGCGTGATAAACGCTTATCGCGGCGCGCATCCTAGGCCTACAGGGCAACATAGCATACTCGTAGGTGCGCTTCGAGCAATATTTTAGGTACGCTTCATTAGGTGCGCCTCAAAATGGGTGCGCTTCGGAGAATGCCTCCTCAATGAGGGCTATCGTTTTAGCGCTCACCAGTTAGCGCCACTGTACATAGAGTAAGGTCCTGTCACTTGCTAGTAGCGAAGACAGTGGCACCAACTGGTGAGCGCTAAAGTGGTAGGAGGACTATCGCATTTGCAATCATCAAGATGGCGCCACTGTAGAGTAAGGTCCTGTTAATCGCCAGGGATACCAACTGTTAAGTATAAAAACGATAGCCCTCATTAGGTGCGCCTCAAAATGGGTGCGCTTCGGAGAATGCCTCCTCAACTGTATAAGTTTGTTCTCATTCAGCCTCTTCAAGTTAATTGTACAATCAAACATGGACCCTAATAACACATTCAATTGAATGCCAAATGACCCGACTCTAAGCTTTATTTACAGAACAATAAATAACAGCCACTTTCTAACGACCTTTTGACTTTAAGCCTAGTCGCAGACCATTGATTTTTCGTCGGCCGATAGTTTAGTCGGGCAGTTGATCAGTATGGGCATTTGGGCATGTATGGAAGTGCGCACATTACACCGATTTGATTTGGCCGATTCTTCATACAATTTAAAATCGGGCACAACTATCGGCCAACTAAAAATCGGTGGTCTGTGCCTAGTTTAAGTGCGATTTTTTTCTGTTCTCTTGCTGAGTAGCCTCTGCCTGCGGTTTTACTCGTATGAAATAACAAAGGCTATTGGATCTGAACGAACCTTTTACAATAATTGCAATAAAAAACTGAAATTATATTTTTTTTTCATTAGAAACCAAAAAAAAATCCAAGATTTCAAACAAAAAACCATCTCGTAATCGCATATAAAGCGATTTTTTCCTGGCGCGGAGTACTTTCTAAAAAATGTATATCCGTGTAGTCTGGGTCAATAGTGGGTTTATAATAAAACATTCTAATCAATATTTACGAGTATTTAAAAACTTTAAATCTTACAAAGAAAAAATATATTCAATTTAGTCTCTTTTCTACAAAAAATTATAACGCGATGAAAAAGATCGTCTGTAGTAAGAAAAAAGAATTTTAAGCTTTTTTCCAATACGTCTCGCCTAGTTATGGAACTTGTCTACTTCAAAAAATATCTTAAGTTAGTTGAATCGAGCTTAGTTCAGTTCTCATGCAAAGTTTGTTAGAAGTACAATACATTATTTACATAAACGTAGATTTGATTCGAAGATACTCAGACTTTGTTCTTTCTTTCTTCACTTACATTTAAGAATATTTGAGTTTTGTTTGTAAATCTTACTTAGGTATTTAAGTAAGTTTGTTGCAGAATTATTCTAGCTAATTAAGATCCATTGTATGTTCAAATAGAGATATGAAGTCTATTGTAATTTCGTTCAAAGCTGTTTAAATTTGGTGAGTGATCTATCATCATCGGGTCACTTAGTCTGACGCCCGTATTCACAAACGATACTTGCTTAAGTGAAGCAGCAAATCGAACGCACAGCGTTGAAAGAGCTCTGTGAATAATTTATGTGTGACCCTGTGCGTTCACGTGCACAGTGAGACCTCATAGTAATGTTTGTGAATACGGGCGTCAGTTGCACCTATTACTTTAACTTTGACAAACGTGAAAAATCTGTCAAACTCCATACAAAAAGCACCGGTTATTGTTAATGTTACGGTTAAAATAAGGTGGTGCAACTCAGCTTTATGCTTGTTTTCACCATCAATCCCTAATTTTTAAGTGACCCCTTTGAAAATAAAATGTCTGTTAAGTGTTACCATTAGGGTCACTTAAAAATTAGGGATTGATGGTGAACACAGGCATTAGTCTCCTATGTAGGAGCACGACCCTCTCTAACTCATTCTGGGAGTGGGTAGTCAATGCGAAAAATAGCTCAACGGTTGGAATGTGCAGGTGTCAAAATGTCCATACGGACCGGCTGTTAGTGTGGCAAAAAGTATGAACGTCGAAATGAGCAATGGTTAAAATGATCTGAAGTTAAAATGTCTTCAGGTTTATTCAAACAAGCGTCTTATTGTATATAATAGCTAACGTGAACACGTGTTTAAATGCATCAAGGTAAAAATATCCAAAAAAACTCTTTATTGACTGGACTACAAGAACATTGAACATTTTGACATTTAAGTTTATTAATTTAATCATGAGCACAATTAATCAGTTGATCATTTTATCTATGTGTACCATTTGTCACTAAACCATTGTAACCATGGTGATAATGTACATTTTGACACTGGGACTTTTTGACGTTCATACTTTTTGCCACACTAACAGCCGGTCCCTATGGACATTTTGACACCTGCACATTCCAACCGTTGAGCGATTTTTCGCATTGACTACCGACTCCCAGAATTGTCTAACTTAGGCAAATGGAGGATTTGACTTACGGGGAGTGTACCTACTAGGCAGACTGGTTCAGATGACCTGAGTTCGCATTATTTGTTCCTTAGTCGCCTTTGTAGTAATGGTTGCCTATGTTTTTTAGCGTTTAAATAGGTTATTTTTCGGAATTTCGAAATTAAAAGACTTCTTAAATGTATGTCTTTCAAAGGTTGGTCATGTATCTAACTAAAGTATTATCGCTGTTTTAACCCAAGAAACAAACTTCATAATTGATGCCCAAATTCAATCTACCAAATCGGCCGGTCATCAGTACGTGGTCGTAAGTTACCCCAAAATGGCTATACCAGGTCGGAAGTGGTATACCTTCGTCGCGATAGCAAATAAGTTACACAACCGTGGTCTTACAAGGCTACAAGCATCGGACGAAACCTATTAATCCTTATTTCACTCACGTTTCTAACGACACAGCTCAGGTTGATCAGCCAGTTTTAAAAAAACTCGTAAAAAAGTTAAAGAGAAAACCAAAGAGGAAAGGAGAGCTAAGCGGAGAGGATGTAGAAAACACATCTGTCATCTTCGCTTTGGTGGAAACCTGCCTTAATTTGTATTTTATTTTAAGGGAATTTCTGTATTTAGAAGGAAGTTAACTAGGGTGGAATTTTGAAATGCCATCTGGAGGGAAAGTACTCTTAATATTGTAGATAGAAAATTTTACTCAAAGAAAACATTCCTTTATTTTTGAAAAGAAATAGAATGCATTCAAAGATTCCATTTCATTGATTTAAAGATTGATACCTCCAGGTGGCATTACGTGGCATTACAAAATACCACCCTGTATAGTTCCTCTGTGCCTTAAAATAAACAATAAGCCTCCTAAAAAAATAGGGTCCACCAATGATGTTATGGCGGGTACAAGTAAAAATTTGCTTAGGGATCTAGAGATAGCGACAAGATATTTTTAAATAAAAAAAATTGCCTTCGAACTTTTCAAACTATTTTTTGCCTTTTATAACTATACAGACATCGATGTAGTTTAC